ATGGTGCAACAAGGGCTGAAGGGTAACGTTAAAATTTTTTTCCATCTTGGATGATTTTCTTGCCTTCTCATCTCTGGTATTCTCTTTTTCCACTCTTCTTGACACCGTAAGGTTGAAATCGATCTGTACTCCTNCTAATGGTGCAACAAGGGCTGAAGGGTAACGTTAAAAATTTTTTTCCAACTTGGATGATTTTCTTGCCTTCTCATCTCTGGTATTCTCTTTTTCCACTCTTCTTGACACCGTAAGGTTGAAATCGATCTGTACTCCTTGCCTCACATCTCTTTATCGGTCTCTGCTCATACTGTGGGGTTTGGAACGTTTTGTTTTGGGAAAACTACGGTACTACGCAGTGTAAAAGCGTTTGCGCAACTTCTACTGTTAGGCTTCATCTCATGGCGAGAGAACGAAATCACCAGACCCCACTAATTGGGATCAGTGATGATGCCTGTTTTCAAGAACTGTAGACAAATTAGTCAGTTGAGTAAGAGAGGAACCGGGTGTTGCAATCCCATAGAGCCTTCAAATTTCTAGTTTGAGAGGATTCTGGAGGTGCAGTCAAGATCTAAGCATTAAAACTCTCGTCGTAATGTTTAATAATTATAAGCTATGACGATTTCCATGAAGACGATTTTTTGTGCCTGGAGATTCGCGATTCCAGTTTTATCATCATAAAAATCTGTTCATGAAGAATAAAGCGAGCTCGAAAGACTCTGGTTGGATGGGAGAATTAACATAGCAGAAAGTTCGCCCGGGCGAGGTGAGTTCCGTTTTTAGCGGTAAGAGAATGAACTTCTCCAGGCGAAATGCTTTAGTAGTGCACAAAGCTCCTTTGAAGAGATGAACGATTTATTCGAATGCGGACGCAACTGCCATGCTTCGAATGCCCTCCGGTATCTACGCGATCTACCAAGTTCTACTGCTGATGATAAACACCCGGATTTCTGCACGAAATTAGTTTATTTTCGCATAAACTTGAAGTTCTCGCCCTTCTAACTAGCGAAAATCCGCTTGAAGACGCGACACAGCTACTTTCTACTTCATTTTTGCTCTTGGGCTGCACGCTATCGTACTACGCGGGATGAAACTACAATGGCCCGACTATTTTACTGGGAAACACTTTTGTATACGGTCTGTGGTTGCGAATGTATTCTACTAAACAGTTGTCTGCTCTGCTCAAATTCTTCACTAAATCAATCTTATTCATTTTCCAACTCAGACATGAGAAGTTGTTAGCCGAGTTTATTTTAACTGGATGTATTCTTAGCGTGTACTTCTAAATACTGGTAGCCGGACTCCATTGTTACAACTTCTGTAGTTGCGTTTATTTGCATTCTGTACTCATCATTTACTAACGATGGTTCTGTCCAAAATCGTAGGGCCTTCGATATCACTGGCGTGGTTTTCAAAGTAAACTTGGGTATGGCTGCTTGTGCAGTAGCCGAATCCTTGTCGAACTAGCCTATTTTTGATTTCATAGGAGCTATTTCCTGAAAAAATCCTCCATATAACGGCTCCCTCCTTCCTACACTGATCCGTTTGAATAAGTTGAATCATCGCTTTCCTCAGAATCTATTGCGATATCGCAAACGAGATGGGAATCAGTTTTCAAGAGATTTATTTCCTCGTCGATAATGAGGTAAAAGAAATGACTAAGGTTGTCCTGCTCAGTAAACACCGCTCGTTTTCTTTCTAGCTTATTAGAAAGAACTGACGAAGCGATAAGCTTGGAATTCTTCAAATGCAAATGCGTATAATTCGGCATTCATTGTGTTCAGTGATGTTGCCTGGGTAGCGTAGCGTCTGAGCAACAGTGGTTCATATTTCTGCTAGAATTCTGCTTTCCTTCAGTGCATTTGATTAGGACTGTAATAGTTTCGTAAAACAAGAGATTCAAAAGCAAGAATCAATGAAAACAATGGTTTTTATGTACTTGGTTTGCCCTCATACACAACTTCGAGATGGTTTCACCTCAAAACAGTGGCATATAAGAATCCTAACGTGAACATGAACGGGCAAAAAGTGTCAGAATGTTCAGAATCAGGCCAGACGAAACAGTAGAAATTTTCTTGAAAAGCCTGCGTTTCCTTGGATAGTGAACAATTTTTATTTGATTTATTAGGTATGGCTAGCTTATTTTCATTTTAGGAGAATGGTTTGGTTCTCGTAGAGCAAGAAGCGGAAGAACCGTCTCAAGTATCTGCGGATAGTAGTGGATCTTCAATTAGCATGTGAGAATTGTTTTGATTTAAGAACTTTTTAGCAGCTGAAGTTTAAGTTCGGATACTGTTCTCAGTAGTGGCGGTTGAGTATGGTATCGTAGGTTGACAACTTGTGTGTAGGTGCTCGAGGACGCCATTCTAGCGAAACGGCTGCATATCATGAGCATCCGTTTACTCACCAAAATAGAACTTGCCCAAATCTTGAATATAATGTTGACGTGGATGAGAATGCTTACCTATATCAGGCAAAAAAAACTTTCAGGTGGGTGGCAGAATTCTGTGCCACTTGTCAAATAAGGACCTTTATTGATGTGAAGCGCCCCAGAAAATTGGATTTATTCACCATCGTTTTCGAAAACTTCATGTCAAGGGTTGGGTGGCTTGTAAATGTCTCTCCTCCTAATGCGGGGAGTGCGAGCTAAAGCACGACTTAAACCCAGTTCCGACTTGAGAGCGAGCCTTGATTGTTTAAGTCATAAGGTAGATTGGAGAACAACCAATTGTGGGAGAGACCGGCTTGCCTTTTAGCATCACCATGGACATTAGCATGGGATGCCTTTGTGTCAGTTAAGCCGTTCAACCAGGCACGCGGCTGAATTTCGCAAGTGTGACGGTCTGGGTCGAAAACGATCTTCAAGCTGCTGCAGAAAGAATAACTGCAACGTTTTCTTGTAAGATTCAAGCTGTTACAGAGCAGTATAAACTCGTCTCTTACTGTTGGCTTGCCGCTTAAACGCTATCAAACTGAGAGCAGAAACACCGTTTTCAAAAAGTAGGAAATAAATTTTTCGTCCAACTGTATTTAAGGAGAAATGAATCAAGGAAATTGTCCATTACGGTTTCAGTAAGTCAAAGTAGACAGCTTTTCGAATAAAAATGCTTTATCGAAAATGCCGTATAGAAATGATATAAGAAGGATGTAAAATGGTAAAATGCAAATACTTCTCTGAATTGACATCCACGTAAAGGTAAGATAATATCGGCTGGAGATTCAGCCCGATAGCTAAGTTGCTATCTGGTTAGATGGCTCAGTAGTGGAGGCAAACTGTGAATGTATTCACTTTATTGTCAGGAGTCATATGGCACAGCGCTGAAATCAGGTCTTGGCTTAGGCTTAGATACATTTTGTGGCGATCATTAAAAACTTCTAGTACTAGTTGATGAAGACAATTTAGAACGGATTCCTTTTCACATTTGCTCCGAAAAAACCATTTTTTTCACTAACTTCATGATACAATAGTAATCTTTTTTGTTTTAATTTCCGTGATTGTACAAGTAAGTATACGGAAGGGAATGGGTTGTTCAAACATAATCGTTAGGATACTTTGTAATTTCCGGCGATAACTTTTGTTGCTACCTGTGAGTGTAATTTTAGAGCATTGAAACACTGCATTGTATTTATATCAACCCCTGCTGGTTCTTGCATGGAAAAAAATGTGGAACCAAAATTAGTATGACTAGAATGGAAGTAAAATGAGTGGGCGCATTACACATCTCATCTCAAGACGTGATTAATCAACGAAAAGCTTTGTCCCTATTTTCGTCTTGACTTCATTTCAATGTGCTGTTCAATTTTGTCCTTAGCAACGCGTAAGAAAAGACGAACGCAGCAGAAATCGCTGACAGGCAGGACTGTTACTTAATCCTTCGGGGATGATGTTTTATATCGAAAAAAATACATATTGGAACTTCTACAGAAGTGGGCAGTTCCGCACCATTTTTTCGATGTTCGAATTGCAACCATGTTTAGAACTGCTATTATATCCAATTGATTATGTAGTTTATCCATAGCATACTTCCCAAAGAAAAAGTGTCTCAAAAAAAAACTAATCTTTGCCTATTGAGTCTCCTTCATATGAATTATTCACTCCCCGTATGGAAAAACGTAGAGGACTTGGAGCTAAACTCGGAAGCACACGAAGTAGGCGTTTTTAGATCCATTATCTTACGCTCTTCAAGCAGTTTAAATTCTTGTCAGTATGCGAGTGATGGATACGAAGCTGTCTGATTTTCTATAAAATCGAGTTTTTTTTTNTTTTTTTTTCTTTCAGGAAACCTGGTCCGCTGCTGTTCTCTGCAGAAACCATCAAACTTGTCGAACGAGCAGTTCCTGGTTCATCAAGTCTTGATCAGAAAGTTAGGAAATTGGTAGACACTGTAAGTTTTGTTTCCCCTAAAATTTACGTGACTCTTCCATTAGTATTATTTACAGATGCTCACCATAGGTCGAAGAGCAAAAGGGTGAAAAGTAGGATGCATCGCATGGGTTGTGGGGTGGAGGCGCTCAATATTTTGTATAACATATATAACTGGTTTAAGTTAGAGGCAGTAGAAAAAATGCAGAATAGTATGAAGAGGGGTATGGAAAGTACGAAAGTTGAACATTAGGTAAAAAAGAGGTAGCATGTTTTTGCTAATCGACTCGCTGAAATGAAATTAGGTGGAATTGACGTACGAATAACACTGTAACGCAGGAACGGGTCGTATCACTGCGTTGTACTGAACTAACGCACGATTTAGTACACGAAATTTAAAAAGTGTGGAGGCATTGTCAGGCAGTCACGAGGTGTCAAAATTTTCAGTTTGTCTGTTTGTACACAGCTTTTTTGTTTCATAAGGGATCCCATTTTAGGTGTCTATGTTACACATTCTTTGAAGATTATTTAAGTTGGTTAAGTATTTTTTGAGGGAATTCAACGCAAATATCGCTCTTTCTGCTGTCTTTTCTGTCAAGCCAAAGTGCAACACCATTCCATTCCATGAGCGATTTATTACTCACGGTCTCAATATTAAGTGAGCAAGCATTCAAGTATGTGGCTCTCCATTCAGACCACGGCTCTCTACTTCACTCAGGGCGTAGATCAAGGAAACTTGAATGGTAGGGGCAAGTGTTACAAGTTTGCCTAGCAAACCCGTACCTCTTCACCCCATTACACAGCTCCCTTGATTTCTTTTCACCTGAGTTGTTTCTTCCTCAATATTTCGAAAACTGTTGAATTTTCATTTTCATACTTCTGTTTTGACGAGGGGAAATGTGATTGTACCACCTTACGTGCGCTTCCAGGTCTCTATCAACGAGATATTTCCCGGAATTCCCCTAGAATGCCCCTGTGGTCGCAAAGATCGCAGAACTCCAAAATCAGAGGTTTGGCCATGTACAGAAAGTAGCCGTGCTGTGGCCTACTTGTTGAGGTTCCACCATTTACAGCGAAGCGTCAGGATGCCGACGACCGGTATGCCTGTGTGGGATACTGGGATAGACCATTCAAACACATTTCTTACAACACATTTCTTTCTAATTCTGCTTTTTTGGAACGTTGGATTCCTGGAATACCCCCAATTTTTTCCTTGTTTTCGCTATTTTTGCGCAAATCTGCAGCCCAGTTTCCACTGCTTCAGTCAAGCTGGATGCCTCAAAAGTATTGTTAAGGTGCTTTAACCATAGAGTTGATGCATCAGAAAGATAACATATTGTAGAGTGTTGATTATTCAATTGGTCTGAGCGCATTTCATTTCCAAAGGACTGCGCTTCGAATGCCCAGACTTTTACTGTCAAATGTTTTGAGCTAATCCGCTTTTGCTCCGCTTCCCTTCATTCTATTCTCTTTCAATTTCTGTGTTCGTGTCCAGTCGTAATGACGGCTGGTATTGTCGCGGTTCTTTTCGAGTACGCCGTCATTGTGAACCACGGGGGAGGATGACAATGGGAACATTATTCATAAGTATTCATTTATTATGTAAATGGAAGCATCGAGTCATGGGGTCTTTGACTGAAACAAAACAGCTGTACCTCATGACTAGGAGCCGTCTGGTAAGATTTGCGTCAATTTGCCCTACGATTCACAAAAAAATATTGGATTTTGCTTGTACTCCTATTAGACCTCTCGATCTTGTTTCCCTTTATCTCCTTTTTTTCCGTGATATTCTCTTTTTAAAGATCTCCTAGAACTCTGATCCCCATCAGGAAACCACCTGCTCCTCAGCGTGTCCAAGGAAAACATTCTGACAAGAGCCTGATATCACTACCACGTGGCCTTACCAGCTGATTTGAAGTAGTTCATGATTAAATTGAATTCTAAAGTGCGCTTGGGAGATAACTTGTGAAATCTCCGCTGTGATTTTGCTTTCTATTCTGTCAGTTGTGATGAAACACATCACTCAAATGAATGAATTAAGTGGTTTGACATCTAGCTCAATCTGCAAGTGCGTCTTCACTTCTTGATCTTTTTCTGTCTACCGGAACCGCTCCAGTCCTTTCTGTACCAATGGGGGAGAGGGGAGTGCATATAGGTCGTCTTTACGATCCGCAAACTTGGAATTTTTAGAATTGCAGACCGAAAATTCGTGGTGTCCGCTATTAGGGAAAGTTGGAAACTGCGATTCGAATATGAGCTCTCCTACCGATCACTAGTATATTGGCCTGCTGTAGATTTGATTACGTAAAGTTCCTAGAAGGTTGTGGCATATTCCCAAGTTGATTCTATTTCATGAAATTCATGAAGTTCTTTAGACCTTCATGTACTCCTGCGCCACCTGGGAAAAATTGTGACTTTCCCAGGGAACATTTTCAGGGGTCGAGGGCACAAACAAATGCGGCTGGTACTCTAGCACTCCAAATGTTTTCTGGGAAATCACATAACTTTCCCAGGTAACGCCTAGATTACATCGGCCGTCTTAATGGTACTGGTCTCGTTGGGCCACTGTACTTCGCCCATCACAATATGACCTCGTTGTGCTTTATGCAGACTGCAGAAACTTATTTTTTCTTTTTTTTGCCATTTCACTTAGCTCCAGGACTAATTCTTTATAACTTCAATATTCCAGAACAAGAAGATGCGTAAAGATTATGAAGAGATGGAGCAATCAATCTACAACCAGCGAATGATTAGAGCGAATCATCAAGCAAATGCGGCTGGTCACGGTCCATCGGATGAAGCGAACAGTAAGTTGCGCCTACACGTGGGCTGTACGCTTTCTGTGTATCTTTGTGTTTACTGGCTTAACACCATCGTAAACGGTCACTGGTTGTTACTACCAGATTCACCAATTAGAACGACATATGAGGATAAGTTTAGTGAGTTTATGAGTATTTGTGGTGTTGGTTATCGAAACGTTTGATTTTGTTGCCATCACTGTTTTGTTTGTGGCTCTGATGGTTGTGCTGTTAGCCACACGAAGCAAGCTGAATTAGTGCTCGTGATTAGAAATTAGCATTTTTATCAATTCAGAATTTCAGCCTCGCTTGGAACCAGGTTGGCATTTTCGATTTTGTTAGGAGTGCTTAGATCACCCATTGGCTGAAGGCGTGGCAGTGTGCTAGCCGTATATCTTTGCTGTTCAGAGGAAACCTCTAAAATTAATACTACTCTTGTGCTACAATTTTCTTTCGTTAAAAGAACAAAGCAGTTTTTTGAACCAAAATAACAAGGTCTCGTAATTCCATTAACCTGGCCTTTGTGGAAAAGTGACGGATAAAAAAACAAATGACAGGTGGTGTCGAGAGTGCTGGACCTGTAGGAGTGTCCCGATTGGAACTAGGCATAAATGAAAGGTTGCGGCTACCGTCGTCGTTTAAAACCTAAATGAGGACAAAGGTGGATTCTCGAGCAAGCATACTGTAGCATGCTGCTTCTTCCGGGTCTAATTTGAGTATTTTCTTTTACCATCGTCACTGAAACGTTTGAAAGTTATTAGGTTTCGGGGCTCTGCTTGAGGAGCCTGAATAAAATCTGATCGGGATAGCGAACGTTGAACGGCGCCTCTGGGAATCACATTCGTCGTAGACATTGTCGGGACTTCATCTTTTTTTGATTTATTGCTCCTTGTTTCTTATGCTAGCTTTTCCTGTGGGGTTGTGGGGGATCGGATTCGGCAGTACATAATTCCATGCAGAATACTAGTAGTGTAGTGTCATGTGGCGCTATTACGACATGTATGCATCAAAGTCCACATGGATACCCACCTGCGCCAGCGTGACCCCCTCCCCCCTGAGCTCTCTGAGTACTAGTCGAATGCATGGGAACGACCTAAAATGAGATTAGTCCACGCTGAACTTTTTCATCGTTTGTTCTTTTGTTACTAGTTATTTTGCAGCGTATAAAGTAGATAATGTGCTATTATTCATGTAGAAAGAAAGACAGAAATGCACGAGCTTTTCCCCATCAACTGAAAAAGAATGTTTTCGAAGTTTGTGGGATTTTAGAGGTAGTTAATTTTTTCAACATTGTTGCGCCTTTAGACGGCCTTTAGACGAATTTCAATAGTTCCACTGGTGATTGGCAACTGATTTCTGTTTTTTAGCATATATTTGTGGTTGAGAACTTTCCTTTCGTGTTTACCTATACTTCAGTTATTGTTTCAGAAGAGGCGGCTAAACAATTGGCAGAACTCAAATTTAAACTGCAAGAGGCTGAACGCGAGAATACAAATCATCAAGGAAATGTGAGTGACCCATCCTTCCAGTAAGTCCTTACAGTATGTATTCTAATCATGGACGAGTGCTGTTGCAGATCATTCGAATAGAAGGTCAGATGAAGCGATTCAAGGCAAATGCTGAGACCGCCGAAAAGGAACTTGATGAGGTCAAGACTCAAAACCGCCAGCTCAAAAAAGAGGTACCGTTTGACCCATTGACCTATGCTGTCAAAGGAATCGATATGCACGATTTCGAGCAGTGATCTTTGGCAGCAGAAAGATTCATTGCTGGTGCTACCATTCCAAATACGTAGCCTAAAGGGTCGCGTAATGGCTGACATCAAGCAATCTAACCATCGTCATTGAATAAGATGTATTACTGTTACTTGCGCAATTCCGTGGCCATAGCACCCACATGTTTTACAAGAGCTCTCCGTGGATATGTCGCCATATCAGAAGGTTTTTTTACACAAACACCACTCAAAGGCTTCAGACAAGGGAGAATCGAGAACTACATTAAGTTCCAAGGAGCTGAGAGGATGCTTGAGAATCGAGCACCCCTCAGCTGTCTAAGAATGAGTTTAACATGAAGTACCTTTTTTATGGTCATATTCTCGAGTGTTTTTGCGAGATTCTGTTGAAAAAATGTGGGAAAATGTGAGAATTTTCAGAGGTGCAGACCTTGTCTTGTGCTCACATTATGTAGTATGAGAATGTCCTGGTTTCGGACCTTTTCAGAGAAGGGCATACGAAGAGCTGGTTTAATACTGAGGTCTTTCTTGTAATATTGTCATATTGTATCGTGCTGTTCTTGGGAAAGGGATTGAGTTTTGAATGCCTTCATCCGATTATAATTGAACTCGTTGACATGCGACGTCGTTCACCAGGTTTTGAAGTTTTTGAGGATACCAAGAAAAGATTACATCACAGAGCATTTCTAGGTAGGGAGATAGGAGTTCAGATTATGGGTTCCCGTATTGTAGCTGGCGTACTACTATGTGCAGAAATGAAAAAAAAACAACTCAATATGTAGATGTACAGATGTATTCATTCCATATATGTATGTGTGTATATATGTATGTATGGATGGGTGCATGTATCTGCTTGAGGTTTTTTGTTTGAATGGAAAAAGGAGACTCGTGCAAACTGCCCCTTTTTTATCACACTTGTAGTTATTGAGGGCTTTCTTTGTGGAATCAGATGTATGTGCTTGGTTCACTTTCAGCGGTTCAGCAGTAGGGTGACCTTGGGTCTGTTAAAAGCGAACTTATAGCGTATCCATTTGTTTGCTACCACATCTCTCCATTTCATCTGGCCTCAACCGCTGTGATGACCATGTCCTTCAGAAGCCTGATTTCGGAGGGATAAAAAGATCATAGGCCGTGAGGACTGACGTGTGCAGTACACGATGGGTCTATAGAAGTCGATTCGTTCGGGAATGCGGTGCGTGAGCGTACTCGGAGTAAGAGTTGCTTTCATTTTTCTCAATTTTCTGACTTGTACGCTTCCTATGAAAACTTCAGAATTTTCGTAATTGGGCGGGCGACATACTTTATGAAAGTTCATTGAGTTATAAACTTTATCTGGGAAGAGAGTACGAGCCACCAACTGGCCAGTTTAGTCCGAATCTTTTGAACAAAGCAAGGAGGGATAGTGTACAAGGCATTGGCAAGACGTGTTGGCCCTTTATATCTAATTTAATTAATGCCAGCAAATGCTGTAGCAAGAGGTTGACCAACGTTTCTCATTTTCACGCCGTCTCTTTCAAAGCTATGGTCTTCGATTGAACCGTGAATATGTCCCGAAAATTTCGGGCATTACATTGAGTCTCAGTTCTCTTTCGAAGCTTTTTGTTGCGAACAGGATCGCTTGAGCTCATCAAGTTTAAGCTAGTTTCATGGATCATTACAGTACCTTATAATTGCGTCATCTACCACCGACCATCTTCCCTTCCTTTGCTTCTATTATTTTGAAGCTTCGTTGGTATATGGACAGTAGCCGTCCCCGCATCTTACTTCCCGTTTCTCAGTATATGAGGCTTTTTAGTCATGCATGTTTTGCTGCTTTAAGAGACAAGTTTTCCTACTCGCTTCAATGATATGGCTGACTGCACCTCATTTTCACACTGTGCGATGGAATTTGATTAATATATTTTCATCTCACCCTACACAGTTCTGCTAGTGACACGAGCACGAGTTCCCAGTATTCGCTAGTGGGGAGTACGAACGTTTACAGCTACGAATTATCTAATTGCGTAATTACTCAAAATTTCGCTGCGAGCCTCTATGATTGTGTGTGGCTTGATTTAATCAAATCATGCAGTGAATTTGTACTGGGACACTAGCCATGTTGGTATAGTACAGAGTAGTGCCTCTCATAGTCTAATAGCTTACTCCAGTTGCTCGCGTAGAGCCTCTCATCGCTATCATTCTGCTATGTCTTGCAATAGCTCCTGAATTGAAGGACGTAAAGAGGCCATTGGACTGAAAGAGCACGATGTTGATCAACAAGTGGACAGGTGGAGAAGGATTGTTGTGGTTTTTCATCGAGCTGTTGCTAGCGAACGCCAAAGTTCTAGGAATACTTTCAAAATTGGCCAGATTGATGTGTTCTGGTGCTGGAACCCATCGGCATGATCCAATTTTGGAAATTTGACGTAGAGGGAGAGGCAAGTCGTTTTGAAAGCCAGGTGATAGAGCGGTGACCAACTTTCGCTTTTTCCCAAACGACACTTTGATCGCGATACTTTGAGGACAGGATTGTTAGTAAATGAGCATCTAGTCATTGGATATTGGATAACTTGTTTTGATATCGCATATGCATGAAGCTGGCGGGTTTGAATGAGACGAAGTGGCAGGTCACTTACGAATGCAAGTTATAATTTTTCTAAAGTTAGGTTGCCTCCTGAGAGAAGTGGTCATCTTTTGCGAAGCCGAGTGTTCTTGGCATTGGGCTAAAGAGTAGTCGGAATTCATAGAGTGTTCCAGATCAGATCGTGGCAGATTTCATTTTTTAACGGATAGAGAAGGCCCGTTGAGCAAACCGCAACCTTAAGACGGAATTGGTCATCCGCGGTGAACTCAACCCCAAATTTTTCGTCACATTTCTTCATTTCATTTCCATTTCTTTTTCGAAGTCGACTCAGAAAGTCGTATCTGAGCCGTTTATGAACAACAACTTGCGGCCATCAGGGATTTTTTAGAATTATGAAATCGTGAAACAGATACTATTATTGGATTCAAATTTGTAGCACTCCAGTAGAGTTTTTCTTTTTTTGCCTGCTAAATTCAACAAGTAAGGAAATACGTCACAAGTGAAAATCCCATTCTAGATATCTGTAGGCTGAATTTCATAGCAAAGTTTAGCAAATAACTTCCTGGGATGAATTCTCTTTCGAATTTGTTCTTTACATTAAAAGCTATCACTGGATTCTATTATGAAATTGTGAAAAACAAAAATGCGAGTGAATGAAGGCCTAAGGAATCGACCATTACATTTTTGCAAGAGGTTTTTTTGTTATGTGACCATCTATTGTTTCGCTCGGCTTTCGTTTGACGCTACATTACATTTGTGAACGCTACGGTTGTTTTGAAAAGCTTCCCTCGTTGTGTTGCCTCATCAGGGTGTCTAGCGTGTGAAAGCCATTAAACATTTTTCTTCACGAAAATGAGGAGAGTGATTGTCACCCGAACGATCCATCAGAACTTCCACCAACTACATATTGGAGGTGTGGCTCCCACAGGATTACTTGATCTGCTTACTGGTATTGAAATTTGATCATTTCGTAGCCATTTTTCCTGGACCAGATTGATAATGATTCGGTAAACACGCGGGAGACTCAAATACAGGAGTGTCGCTTCCTCAAATCCCTTTTTAGTTGATGAGTTCCTCTAAAATCCATCAGTCTCTCACATTTTCATGAAAAAGAAAAAAGTCCTTTTTTTATGAAGATTTGTGAGATCGATGGATTTCATAGGAGGTTCTTAACAAACTTCAGCCAGATCGACTTGGTCAAACTGAGGAAGTGACGTATTATCTTGTATGATGCCCCCATGAACAGCGAAAGCTTCAGTAAAAGTTGAACATAAATTCGAATAGTCATTGGAGCCCTCATTTTTCGTTGTCTTTTCTTTCCCATGACAGATTTCTCGAAGAAAGAATAAATGGTTCCATCCTTTGGGTATTACAATCAATATTTCCCGTTTTTTCTGTATACACCCACTCCTTTTTCATGGATGTTGCATGTGGACATTGCTTGAATTCTCGTTTGGTCCATTTTTAGCCGTCGTTCATTTATTGCTAGGTAGGTAATAAGATTAAGTGCAACTTACAAACCACTTCTACTTGACGGGTGGGTGACCATTCTTTGAGCGCTTTTAATCATTCATACAATCCCGATAGCGGTTGACTGAATCTGGGTGATATCAACGAAGCGGCTAGTACATTTTAACCCTGCCCTTTTAATTGAGATGCTGACTATCTGTTGAAAACTTCAGCATCACGCTACTCTGAATCAGAGGAATTCACCTTTACACGATTTCTTTTGCAGCTTCGTGACAAAGAGAACGCATTGGACGAGCAGAAGGAGACCAACAAGCATCTGCAGAGCCGATTGGAGAAGCTGCGCAACCAACGAGCACGTCCAATCTGAGCTTCACCGCTGTCGCCCTGCCGCTGCTTCTACCCGGCTGGCCATCGTCATTCGTCTGTGTGGGTGTGAACTTTGTATGTGTGTATGTGTATGCCTCATCGCTAGATCGACTTCTAGGTGTTGCGAATAGCTGCGCATCCATTGTTCTGTATCGTGTGTGACGATAGCAAATTGTTGTTGTCTCGACTAGTGCTCAATGCTTTATCGTCGTCATATTTTGTAGGCATATGAACGAACATGCTCCTCTCCAAGCCAAACAAGTTCACTCTGATACTAGTTCTGTAGAAATACTTGTAGTATTGCATCGCTTATTCGCCGCTCAGTTCGAGATTGCTCCAGGAGCACGTTGCGGCGGCGATCTGCTGTTGTTCGCGGGGCAATGTCGAACTCACTCTCGTCCCTTCGTGCCTTTGCCAAGTGCATTTCGAATCGTTCTAGCTCAGCACTTATTTCGCGCTCGACAGCTTCTTCTCATTTTGTCTCCCTCTATGGCAGTGCATTCATACAGAAACTAATCGGATTGCAATAAATATATTTTCCTTGCTCTCCATCTCTAGCAGCAGATCTCACCCCCATTATCGAGCGGGCCAAGTTAATTGATCACAATCCAGTGGATACAGTCCACAGCTGATACTGAAGGCGAGAGTATGGACACGATGTTCAAGCTTTTTAGCTTTCCTTTACGTTATGTGTTTCAGGGTACGGTATTGCAACGTAGATGAGAGTGGTTTCGAAATAAAATTAGGCAACAGATTTGATGCAAAACACATTTGTTTGAAGGCAGTCAGTGAAAATGCCTTCCCACGTCTTTACAGTATCCCCTGGGTGGATTAGCCCTAATTGACAGCCGGGGGCCTTAGCTCCAGCCTACTGACGCAGCCGTTTTTTTTTTCAACATAATTCCTTTGATACCGCTATTCGCCCTGTTTAGAATACGCCACGCTGTCCTGCTTATATCCGAAATTTGTGGTAGCTGTGAGGTGAAGTGTTGCTTAGCCGTTGTGTAGTTGGTATTCAAACAAAAATTACTGATAACGGAAAGGTACAGCCCAAAATTGATCCCATTACGTTCCTCTGTGCAACCGAGGAGTGGGAAGGAGTTAATGTTATTAGCGGTGCTAGATCTGTGAGTAACAGCGCATGTGGTTGGATGAAGATATAGCAGTTTGAAGTGTAAATCTTTTAGTCTTGGTAGCAGGCAGTAACAGTGATTGACAAGGAGTTTAGTGGGCATACCACAATGTCAGAATGTCCCCCAGACTACGATGGTTCTCATATAGGCAGACCCGAAAGAGCTCAGTTTCTGGGACTTGCACTTTGGCCTTGTTGGGTTCCCATAATACAATTCCAAGCCATCGCCGGGTTCAGCAATTACCGCTTTTCTCGCAAATCAGCGAGTCTGACTTTGGCCAAAATTTCTGTGTGGCCTTCCCTAGAAAAAGGAAATATTTCAATAATTAACCACCGAAAAACACAGGGTTCTTCGGGAAATCCTTTCCCATAGCTGCTGCATAGGTCTCGACGCTGTCATAATGAGAGCAATGAAAGAAAGAAGTGACGAACAATGAACTTTTGGTAAACATTAATTCCTTTTTATTGACCATAAATTTGGATGGGCTGCCGAATTGTCGAGGCTTCTGGGGTGTGATCCCATGAACAACGATTCAATACTCGATTCCCATCCTATCCCACGAATTCTTCTGAAAGTATGAAAGGCTTTGCTAGGGTGGGTAGCCACGTCTTGTATAAAATTTGTGGCTCATTTCGCTTTCCCTAGTAGAGTAATTCTATGAATTATCTTGTGCGGAAGTATCTATCGAAAATTTCATAATAGTCCATAATAGTTTACGCTGGGTTTCGGGTTTTCGTGGAAGTTCCCATTGGATTTCTTAGAAGGACACTGCCCTGTCGTATACACACAACATACTCTGCCCTCTCTTTCTTGCTTTTTTGATAACATTATGATCGAACTGTCTACCCATATTAAACACGCACCTACGTAGGAGTTGGAATCTGGCTTCTTCGCTGCTGAAACCCATTGAAAACAGAATCGAGCATTTGACCCTGATGCCCTTTCGGGTGACTCTGCGCGCACCTTAGTCCCAGGCTTCACAACCTGAAAAAAAAGTCAAAAATTGATCCCGATCTAGTTAGCCTTATCNTGAAACCCATGGGAGAAACCCAGGCTGTTGTGGGTCTTGGGTGTTCTCTCAATAACATAGAAAAGATCTAGATATTTGAGTGGTGAGGAAGATCCCACTGTGTGGCTCCTGCCTATCTCTTCTCAGTGTACACAGTACGTGTAGAGCATTGTACTTACAACTATGAAGCCACTGAATCGAACCCACCCACTTGAAGGCTCGATTTGTGGCATCGGGATCATCACTGTTCTTGTTCTCCTTTTTTATAGGGCTTTCAATAGTTTTCCAGCTCTCTGCGTGCTGCCTATACGGTAAGTTCACATGAATTTTGTCTCAAATTTGTTTTGTACGAATTGTATGCTACATTTCTTCGAGTTCGTAGTAGAAAGATTGTGTCTAGCGCAATATTTTTCATGTCGGTAAGAGGTAGGAAGGGCGGAGCTTTGGCTGTTCGTAGGAGGGGCGTGGGCACCCTGGCTTCATTCTCATCGCCACCGGTCCTTGTTGAATAGCACAAGATGCGCAGCTTCCTCGCCATCTTTCTCACTTTGCTCGTATCCGTCGTAGTTATCTCCACGGCTAATCCACTACTCTACCGTGCTCCACAGGTAGGTGCCCGTTTTTGTTTTTCTCCAAACTGTTGGCTAAGTTCCTGGCAAGTTCCCTATGAGGGGCTTCCATGTGCCCTCTCTCATATTGACTTAATAATGTACACGCCTGGTGAACAAAGCATAATCTGGACCATATAGAAATGACGGCTGGCTGTCTTCTTTTGGATTGTTGAATGTAGTAGACAGAAGCGTAGACATATGTGAACTGATTACCATGTAGGCCAAATCTCAATGGGGGGCAACTGAACTGAAGTCAAAACTTTGAATTAGATTGAAAGTAGTTAGGCTCTCAAGTTCATTTCCATCCATCGGTTCAATCGTCCGATTGAATTTGCTAAAATTCTCCCCGTTAGATGAAAAGCAACCGTTGCTGGACAACCCTCTCTCCGAAAAATTGAAAATCAAGTGCGGGCATTCTGTTTGAAGGAGTCTTGTCCTCTTCCCGGAACCCTTTGCACAGAGGGTCCTGTCCCACTGTAGGATAACATTGCTATGAATATTGGTTCAGCTTCACGGATTTCGTTCCTTACATGGAATGGTGTTTCCTTCTTTTACCCAATTTTTTNTTTTTTCTTTGTCAATCGTCTTCGGAGCCATCTGATCCCCAGCTGCTCCTATGTGTCTACCCGTGTCTCTCAAACAGTAGACTCTCTAAGGAAGGCGGTCTGGGGAGCGGCCTCAAAAGAATTCAATGAAATAGCTCCACCTCCTTGTCTAGAGCATAAATCGTATCAGCGGTCTCTCGAAAGAGATTCGTCGAATGTTGATGGCAACAAGATTTCTTGAGACATCCTGAAAGGCAAAGTGCACCCTTCAGAATCACTGTTGCCGAGGTCAGCTTGCTGTTCGAAAAACATCGCTGGCACAAAGGAGACCCATGACTCCGGCTATGCACGTTCAAATCGAATCGCCATGATGACATCGGCGGTGCTGCTTCGTTCGATGCTTGTTCTTGGACAACACCCGGGAATCTAATCGTAGCTTGCTCATCAGCTGTTTGACCCCTGCAGCTCGCCCATATAGTGGACAAGGAGGTCGACAAGAGCAAAACTACATCAACTTGATAGAGCCCTTCGTATAAATGACTACTTCCCTAGTTTGGAAAACTCTGTTTACAGCGGTCTTCTTTCATTGGTCAATCGCCTTGCCCGGAGGTAGAAATTAGACTTCCGGAAGGCACAGCGGACCACACCCCGACAAAAAATGGAACTGCGTCTCGCTCATATGATTTAGGGGGCCTTTCACTGTAGGTCTGACTCGGTTAATCTCTTAAATCGAGCTGCCTAAAAAGCTGACATGCAACGGGTGGTCTGAGCTGAACAATGGCAATATTTTACTTCTGATTTGTAAGTTATTGCTACGTAGGTCTGAGACGTAGGGACGAAGAGTCTCTTGCATAACAAAAAGTAAAACTGTCCTTTGATGGTTGAAATGCGAGACAGGTGTTCATTAATAAGGAATTATAGAAGCGGCATGATTCGGACGAGTTAGTCAAGCTTGCCCACTGCAACTTCACATTCACCTCAAATATGTTTCTACTGTCGTAAAACTGTTCACATCCATTGTTGGATGTCAAATGTCGATCACCGTCGTCGTCTTGGACCATGACAGCTTCTTCTTTCTAGAGAATTCTCATATTGATTGCTCTCACATTAAATTTAGAAGCGTTGAATTTGATGAGACTTGTCGAGCTTTGAAATCCCTTCATCACCAATTTTTCATCACGACAAACTCAATCTCGGCTGACGTATGGCGATCGGCGAAGCTCCCACGTTCGGTCTCGCCTTTTGCCCCCTAGGGCTTATTGTAGACGCGCTAAGCTTCGGAAAAGCGAAAGTGTCAACAATGAAGACACAACAGCGTCGTCGGGTGATTTGTTATGCTCTCATCAGTAAGTAACACAGCACTTCTATCGCCTTCATAGTCAAGATGAAATGTCTTTTGCTTAGCACTTTCATCAGTGACGCGCGTTCACTCTTCGGGAAATCAATGTGGATTAGATTCTCGAATGGTCTGAAAGAGCTTTCAGAGGTGAAATACGCCTCTGACTATATAAACAGGCGACTGGGCGGAGATGAAAGTGAGGAAATGATTTCTGAAAGAGTTCTGAATGGAAGGAGCTCAAATGGGTCATGGGTCCGTGCTCTGTAAAGCCCGGGCATACAGGTGGTCCCATACAAGTGGAGGTTTCCAATCCTATTCCTCCCGAGATCTCAATTAATGAGAGAAAATCTCATCAGGTGGTTTTGAAAGGCGTTGTAGCCGAAGAAAAACAAAACCGAACCAAACAGAAGAAAACAAACAGAACGTACGGAGTTGTGCCCGAGTTGGCTTCACTCTTTGGCAACAGATATCAACTTCTTTTGTTTTATTTTCACTCTTGTCATTAGACTTATTCACTTTTCGAGAGGGAGGGCCGAGCTGGGGCTTTCTTTCACACCATCGATAACCAGACCTCTTCAATCTGGATTATAAGTGAGGTCTTTCAAGAAAGCTTTTCCCCTTTATAGAAATCAGGGGCAAGAAGTGAAATATGGGTTTGGGTTATAGCGGGGGCTGGTTTGCCCTCTGTCAGCGTGCTCTAGGAAAGAAGGTCATAAGAAATGTATCTGAGATACTTTTGAAAAATAAGAATCCTCCAAGAATGGGGGATCGAAATTCATTTAAATGACCAGGGTGAGTTTATTTGTGGTAAAACAACTTCGGGATGCTCCTCTGTAGCTAACTCCTTCTGGGGAACGGAAACCCATACCAACTGCTGAGGCCTCATGACTTTCTCTAGTCTCTTTTGTGTTGTTATGAATGAGCGGGCAAGAACTCATATTCTCTTCCTCTAGGTGGCATCATCTTTCAGACTTTCTTTTGGGCCATCGAATAGAATTGTCCGTCCATTGAGGCAACAAAAGTGAAGTATGGGCAATGCATTTTCTTCTGTCCCCTGTGATTTGAAGAGGACCCCGTAAAATTCCGCTTTTCCAATTCCTTCAGAGAATTTCTTTGCAAAGAAACAAAACGCTATTGGGTACTATTTGAGTAAACAGCTCTCGGACTGCATTGACACAAATCTAATTCAGATGTATGATGATGTGCAGTTCGTGAAGAGGAGTAATGCAGAGTTGATAAATGGCCTTATCGGTATGGACCTCGGCAAACTGTCAGCAGTCGGCAAGCGGTAAGTATTGCTATTCAGTATAGTCATTGAACAGGCTACCTGAATTTCTCTGTTCAGATCGAACGCGGAGCTCATCAACGGACTGCTCGGGATGAATCTGAATAAATTGAGCTCAGCCGGACGACGATGAGCGCTTCCAACGTGGCAACGTCAACACCACCACCACCACTACCACCACTTATCACCACAGCAGCACTCACAACGCTTTTCCGAAACATCTCAAACCGTCGTTCTCGGTCTCTCATGTAGTCGACAAATAGCCGTGCGTGTGTGTGTTTGTATCATTAAATTCGTCGTCTCTTATGGGTGTTATTCATCAATTTCAGTGAATTGTACTGAATTTGACGCGTTTCCCTCTCTCCGTCATTCCTTCAGTGATTCTCTCGCTTCCTCGCGCTCTTTACTTCGCTCCTGATGTCTCTCCATTCTCAATGGAACTTGTGAGATGAATGAAATCTAGATGGTTGATAGTCTTACCGATACCACAGAAGGATGCACAAAGAATACACGCGAAATTGACATTTACGGGGCACCTCGGTGAGGGATTTTCTTCAAAAAATGATGCCTTTCATTCCAAATCTGGTTGGGCTCCCAACCTGTGAGAGCACTGAGCTGCATCTACCCCGTCATTTCTTTATTCCCCTTTGTTCCCATTGCGAATGTATTATAGTTCTGACCGTGGGCTCCACATCCAGTGGTTTACATAAAGGGTTAGTCATTGAGGCGATAGAACCACTCCAATTTACTTCTCACACGACCCTATCCGTAGTTGGGTGAGTGACGTTTCCTCCTATATTAAACCTTAAAAGAGCCGTAATCCGTCATAGCGGCGGGGAAGCTGAGTATGGATTATTAATGTTCACCTTTTATTTCAAAGTGATGAATGAACCTGAAGAGAGGGAGGAAAACGGTAGTCGAATGCATGCCCTCATTCAGTAGTTCACTTAAAAGGGCGACCTGCCTGGGAGCTATCCGAGGCAGCCCCGAAACCCCGAAATCTAACTATGCCAATATCCGCAGTGTACGCAACTGGATCGTCGAGCTTGCCAGCTTGAAGGGCATCATTGCTACGCCTACGCCAATGGGTGCAACCTTGAAGGTTTATGCTCATGCGATCGGACCTAAAGGAACAATTTTCCTCCATTTCACTTCCAGTCTACTGATATACCAGATCCGATTTGTTGGAAGCATGCGTTTTCAAAAAACATGATTTCCTACGGTCACTGCGAAAACATGTCGTCACTCGCATGGGCCGTTTACTGGTTAAGCCAACCTTGAAGAGTAAATGCAATGATGGATTTGAATTATGACAAGTTTCATGTCCAAACAGCAGCCTTCCTCCTAATCAGGAAGTATCTACAAAGTTTGATGCTTCCTGATTAGAAGACTGTTCCGGTGTTTTGGCATCTACAAAGTTTAAAAAACACTAGGAACCAGGAACTTCGGTCGGATCATTTGACAAGCTTCGCGATGTTCCGTTTACTCAAGAGCAACAAAGTATGTAGGGGAAGGGCTGAATAAAAAAGAAATTCGAGAGCAGGTGTTTTCCTTGCAAAAATGAGGTTAGCGCATGTTTGCAAAAAGGTCCTTCCGACCCGAAAAATTCTACAATCTAAATTGCCTTCTCGAGTGGATGTTCTCTGGTAGTGGAACAGAAAAAGTCTCTTTCCAAATAATCATCTTACGAGAGTTTCCGCGCTTCATGGAAACTCATTCAATTTGAGGGCATTCATAAGGCAATTGAGGGTCATCGTCGTATAAGGGCCCCATGGTTGCAGGACTCTCAATTTAGATCCTCCCTGCAAGAAAATGTCCTTTACTGGTTCCTTGGATTATTCCGCTTTAATTCATCGTTCGATTCCTCGAAAACTGCTAGCAGCCTCGCTCTAATTTCAATTGAAACCCTAGAACATCATTCCTGCTTGGAAGAGTTCGTGGGCATAAATTCAAGTGTTGTTAACTACGCTGATGTGTTCAAATCTCTAGCAAGTCCACTGCAAAGAAGGCAGAATGTTGAACACATGAAGAACATTGGGAATTTTCTCGGCGCGACGACAGTGATTGGGCTTTTTAGGTGGGCTGAGAGTTGTTAGCATCACCTACTCTTGTAAAGGAAGCTAATCGGGAACGGAATAACGAGCTGTGAGGTCTCGAGGCTTCAGTCCGCAACCCGCTGAAATGAGCGTTTTCATATGGCGAGAGCCGTTAATGAGCATTGACGACATAACACTTTTACGTCGTCAGCAGTTGAACAAAGCTCGAGGAACTCCGCTCATTTTCATGTTCGAGAAAGTCACGAGAGCCTCTCTCTGCTTCCACAACACCGCACTTCCGTTAGGTTTCGCTTGTACGTAGGAGAAAACTGGGGTTCTGGAAAGACGGATCGTTGGGTCATAGTTCGAGCCAGGTGCTTCTAGCTAATGCATGAGCTTCTTTACCGGAAAGGGCGATTGCACTAGAAACAAGAGACCAGAGAGTAATGCCAAGGATTACCATTGGAGCTTGGGGCTGCCTAAAAGAAGAACCTGGATCGAAGCTCAGGCTCTCTAAAAACTAGCTCAAAGTGGTGGTTGATTCCACCAAAACCAGTCGTGGCATCCTTCGCGATTCCCGGGTTCTTGATCTACACAGGTGAGAAGATCCCAATTTGTCCTCTTGGATACAAAAAAAAACGTGCTGAAATTGGCTACCAGAATCTGCCTCAAAAACAACTTAGTAAAAACATGTTCCCGAAAAAGGACAGGGATGTTAAACACATAACCAGGGAATCTTATTACAGTGTCAAGCTAGGTGTTGAGCTAGGTTTCGCAAGTTTTTTTCCCGAGAATCCCTTTTACGGAACACAAAAACTCAAGGACGCTCATTAAGCGTGTGGAGGACACACATCGTTTCAGTAGAAGACTTGTCATGATAGTCAGGGGAGAGTATCAGGTTCAGGAAAATCAAATACGGGTGAGGAAATAATTCATTCACGTGCGGGAAGGATCACTTCCTCACCCTCAAAGGAGACTTTCCCATGCTACAGAAGATCTAGTCGTTTCAGTGGTACCTTAGTAACGATCTCTGATGCGGAAAGCAGATTGGAGAGAAAAACGAGCGTATGATGAGTGTGCCAAGACCATATTAGATGACATCCTGGATGTTGCTCTGGAGATCGGAAAGGTCTTCATGAGGCTGGTGACTTTGACGTCGGCACGGTGCTTTTCATTGACCTTAGAATTCTGGACGACTAAAACAGGTTGTTCGGGAAGTTTCCAAAAAGTTGTTGTAACAGGAAAGGCCAACCTAATCATCAATAACAACAACTATGACCTGTGAGACCCAGTTCTCCTTTCCGTAAAGGAGCTTCAACTGATTGACCTTTGAGCATTGAAAAGTTAGCCAAATAATCTCAACTGAAGCAGTGCATGATCAAAAAAGACTAACCCTTCCGCAGCTGCTTCTGCAGTTATTGTGTTGTCCGATGACCTCCTGAGAATGCACTAGAGAGAAGGATGCCCTGCAAATTAGATTGAAGTCGTTAAGCCTAATCCTATAAAAGCGACCATCCCACAAAACTAAGGTCATGGCTGCCACCAAAATTGTTGGCATTCTAAGCTCCCTTCTAAGTTTAAGCCGCCGCCATTGGCAACCATTCGAAAGAGTAGCGCCCGCATTCGATGGCTCCTAATAAATTTGCATTTCACATGATTTAATCCCTGGAGATGAGCATTTGCCTCGCGTCTGTTCTATGACTCACGAGCACCATTGTTAGATGCTATCTGATGCAATGAATGACCGTGGTCGCTGCTGAGTATCGGCTTCCGCGCATTGGAACCCTTGCGCTCAGATCCTTGTCCTCAAAGGCTGATTCAATGCTGGTACATATTTGGTTGACAATGTCGTTCACCATTGCAATCACGCAGCTACTGGTTACCAGCCAGCCTGAATGGATCGTCAGTCACGATCAGATCCTAGTGAGATGCTCTTTGTAGTTTCTCTGTTGTTGCTCTTTCAAACTCAGTGCGGAAATCTTGCAGGGATTATTCGCTCTGTGCAATCCGTGGGGTTGTGAATTTCGGGAGATCAACGCTCTCTCCCCACTGCTCCTTCATCTTACTGGATCTCTTCTTTTTCTACTGTCTGCGTTTGCACTTGTTCCCGCCATCTTCTGCTCATCTACGGCCAAACCTATGCAAAGAATTGCTCATCTACAAATCACTGCTGGTGAGTTCATTTGTTTGGTTGCTCTGATTGGACCTCTGGCTCTTAATGAAAACTTCTCACTTCCTGAGATTTGGCGTCATAATGAATGACGAGAAGCTACTAAGCTCTCTCTCTATCAACGGAAACCATCCATCCTCTTCTTTGCCTTAACTATGCACATAGAGCAATCCTATATCGTAATTCTCATTTATCTTCCGCTAATTAGCAAGCATTGCAGAAAAAGGTACCGTACTCTGCTCAGTAGAAGGCGCGCACACAATCCACGGGGAGAGAGTCGATGTTCGCTTAATTGAATCTGGTAATTCCCTTCCATCTCGCGAGTAACGCAAAGATTTGGAATAAAGACGTGATGATCATTCTCACGTGCTAGGGCCAAACCTTTGTTGAACCTCAGAAAGGGCAAAATCTCGAGAGTTCGCTGAGACTTTCTATACAGGATTTACTGTCGAACATCATCGATATTTATCAATTAAGAGTTGTTTACTTCATCGGCCAGGCTTCCTGCGCTTTAAATCTTCCAGAACTTACGTTGAACAGAAACGAAGATTGAAAAACAGAAACAATTTTAACGTCAAACCGTTTCCATTTCCTCATTTCGCCAATAACCATAAACCCTTCAGCTTCAGCTCCGTATATTTGCCGAACGGGACGTCGTTCATGCTGAGCCTGAGCAATTAAATAGAAGGTTATCCAATTCTTCAGCTTTTCTGCCTTCTTCATTCCCCTCCCTATGTTGTTGTTAACTGGACTCGGTCTCATTGAATGTCTTCGGTCAGAAATGAGAAATTCAATTCCGCTTGAAAGAACGTTGGCACCAGACCCAGATTGGATTGCCTCTAACGACCATCGGAATTTCCGCTATGCCCAAGTCCATGTTCAAGTCCCTAGTTACAGCTGGGAAACAGTTCAGAATATGGACCTACC